GGCAGCCGAACAGGGACCAATGCAATATTAGGCAGGCAGATCTTTGGCGACAAATCAACTTTTGTGCAGCTTCTGTAGCTCGCCACTTGCCTATCTGAAAACCAAACTTCTGTGGTCTATTTTTTTTGTTTTTCATTTTGATGAGAATCTAGTTCTTCCTGTCTTACCCTCAGCCTCTCGATCTCCCGATCTTTCTCTCGGGTCAAGGTGCTGAGCTGCTCATTGTACTGACGGGATAATTCGTCTGTTTTGATCTGAAAGGTGGAGCTGCTACCTTGTCCAGCCAGCTGACAGGAGGGACAGACAAGACAAAAAGACAAAAGATTTCAAAACACATTTTGCTAAATAACTGCATAACTTTCTTTATTTAAAGAGATGTATCTCATGAAGGGGAAAAAAGCATATCCAGAATGAGATGCTTTACCTTCTGTCGGAGCATCTTGTTCTCGTTCTCCATTGCTTTCATTCTTGCTTCCATCTCTTTCAGCTTGAAGTCACGATTCGAGTCGCTACTCTGTTTGCTCATGATCTGGCTCTCCAGTGAACGCTGGGCGGCCTGGGATTCCTTCAGAGACATCTGCAGAAAGACAACACACACAGACACTATATAGACGCCCGAATCCAACACAGTCAGAAACTGCAGTACCTGACTGTGTCGAAGAGTAACATTTGTCAAACTGAAGGTCAAATTCTTGCCTCAACGTCGACCTGCTATTTGTGCACATGCAGTAATCCATACTCTGAGGAATCACTACAAACATCTTGCGTGTCCTCATTCCAAATAAAGGATTGCCTTTTTAGATGAACTGACAAGCAAAAGTAGCAAAGCTACTTACGTTTCTCCTTCTCTGATACATGAACCCATGCAGATAGATTCACATTTTCAAAGATTAAAAAAAATAGCTGGGTTGTTCAGGTTTTTCTCATTTTGATCCTTAAGTGAAACATCACTATTTGCACAGTGACGCTGGCCACTGACTGCAATGAAATACAGTCTATGAAGAGTGCAACTGAGTCCTGCCCATGCTTGAAGGCAAAACAGTTCATAGCTCTGTTGTCTTTGCAAACATGCCTCCAGAAAACTCTGGAATTCTGGAATTCTGTTTTCATAGTCGGCCCGCGTGAAAGAATGGAACCGCCTTTGTTTCTGGCAAGTTTCACAGTGTTGTGTTAATACGTAAAGTTTGTTTTTTGATTTTTTACACACAGCCTTCAACTGTAGTAAAATACTTCTGTGACTATTAGTGGAAATGACAGCAGTCACTCTTAACAACCACAATGTATCCTTCCACATTTCTCTACCATAGCTACCCAGGACCTCCTCTGCTCCCTGCTCCCTTCACCTACATGTCCATTGAAGTCTGCTCCAATCACCACTCTCTCCTCAATGAAAACTCTCTTCTAACACTTAGTCCAGAAATCCTCTCTTTCATCTGACTTCCAACCTGTGGGGCACACACTTTAAACATTCGTCATATTTTCTTATTATTTCCAGCATGAAACTCTAGACCCAGTCTGGCACTCTCTCCACCTCAACACTATTCACATAGGCTGTATCCCAATTCAGGGTCTGCAGCCTTAAAGGCCGCAT